CATCGGCTGCTTCTTGCAGATGATCTGACAAGGGATGGAACCCACAACCTTGGCAAATCTGGACGACACTACAGGCCAGGGCTGTCTGCAGCTTTAAAGGCCGGGAGTGTAGGGGCATCTTAGGGAAGGACCTCAGGAGAATAATCATCAGCTTCTGCAGGTGCATCCCTCAGAGTCATGATCTTATTGCCAGTGGAAGTGGTGTTCTTGCCGTGTTGTGAGGAAAAACAAATTTCCAGAGACCCACCAGAGAGGATGAGGCTTGGTGACAAAATTTATTCGCGAAGTAAAATAAGTTCCCCAATGTCCCATCTCTGTCCGTCTCACCATGGAAAAGCAGGGCCCGAAATGTGCAGAGGTCCCGTGCATTTGGTGAGCATTTGGTGAGCATTGGGTGAGCTTAGCTCGTGCTCCTGCTGCGGTCTGTGGCTTTGCTGCTGTCCCGCCTGGAGTGTGGAGTCTGCACTGCCATCAGCCACGCAGCTACTAAGGCAACGGAGAGAGAACATGCAGGTCGTGCAGGTCGGTAGCAAGAGAGTTTGTTCACCTAGATTTATAGGATTGGGAGGCACCAGAAGTTTATTCTAAATAACTCCTAGTCAGTTTCCCAAATTTCCCGGGCTTGCATTGGCTCCACCTCCCCCGCCCCCATCTTCCCCGCCCCTCGTTAGACTGACAGGCCTCTCCTGCCCAGCACCGCCCCCTGCGCCATTTTTACTTTATTGCGCATGTCCTTCCCCTGCCTCCCCTCCCCCCCATCCAGTACTGGAGGGGAAGGGCGGGGAGCTAATCCCTTTGGAGGGACAAAGCTGCGGTTCCCTGGGGTGTGAACCTGTAGCTTCCAGGTGAAAGTCTCCCCTTGGCTCCCTCCTGGGAGCGCGCCCCTGCCTTCCCTTTCCCCTTCCCCCTGCCTTCCCCGCCCAGGCAGTTACCATTAGCTTCCTCACTCCAAGCTCCAACTGGCTTCCTTTACCTCTTTAACTTGTTTCCTAAGCCCATTTCTCTTGTACTTATTTAGCCCTTTTATTTGACATGGTTTTTATTTTCCACTAACTGCTGGCAATGCTAGCTGTGTGTCCAGCCTCCCTTCTGGTCTACCCATTGCATGCCCTGCCCCTGTCCCAGGGCTGCACCGCAAGGGCAGGACGGAACAGTGACCTCCCACTTCACAGAGGCCGGCTTCTCACACTGTACAGACTGGTAACTGCCTGGGGAAGGGAATGGGCCCCTGGGTCAGTCTTCGTGTGAGTCAGTGGGGCCCATGGACTCGAAAACAGCATCTTAGCGAAGCTCCACCAGCCCATTCTCTCTCCGCAGCTGAACCACAGCCTGGCTCTGCTCTGTCCCAGCCCAGCAGGTGGCCCACCCTTCCAGCCAGTGGCCCCAGCACCACCATCACTCGTTTGCCCTGGACCTTGGGGATGAGGGTCTCCAGCATGTCTCCCCTGACGCCTTCCAGGACCTGGCTTTCATCTGTCCAACATACACAAGTATCTGGGCTGAGGACATGTTCGGTTATCATCTTGGTGCTGTAATACTGACCGCACTAGTACAGTTTGTCCACAAGCTGAACACGCAGGTCCCTGTGCAGCCGGTGCTGACCCCTGGAGGCTGCTTTCTTACTCTTGGATGGAGGCTCCTCTTGTGGGTCTGGAAGGTGTTTCAGCTTCCTCTCTTCAGCTCCCCACCGGATGGGAGGATCGGGACCCTGGAAGGCCTTCTGCAACAAGGCTGTTCTGTTTTGTTGCCCTGATGAGGGAGTTTTGCTCACCTGGCTGGGCCCAAGAAGTGCTTGTCCAATTCCTGCTGGGAGACAGGCCATAGGCAGTACTCACTAACAGTCATCACATGGCTCCCCTTGGCCAAATGAATCATAGCCCAGACATTGTCAGGGTCCAGGCCTTCCACCTTCCCATAGAGCAGTGGTTCTCAACCGTGGCCGCACATTAGAATCACCTGGGAATCTTTTTAAAATCCTGATTTCTGGGCCTCACCCTCTGGAAATTCTATTTCTTTGTTACTAATGTTGTGGCCTCACCCCATAACAAAGAAACAGAATTTCCGGAGGATGAGGCCCAGAAATCAGGATTTTAAAAAGATTCCCAGCCCTAACCGGTTTGGCTCAGTGGATGGAGCATCGGCCTGCAGACTCAAGGGTCCCAGGTTCGATTCTGGTCAAGGGAAGGTAGCTCGCCTGGGCCCTGGTTGGGGCCCATGCAGGAAGCAACCACTTGTTGCACAGCCATCTTTCTGTCTTTCCCGCTCTCTTCCATTCTCTGTAAAAATCAATAGAAAAATAGCCTTGGGTGAGGGTTAAAAATTGTTTTTTAATAAAACCCTCTCTCCTTCCCAGGAGCATGCCCCACGATCTTCACCTACACATTTCCTTTGGCCAATGCCCCGTTCCCAGGTGTGACTGAAAAGTAATCACCTTTCCACACCACCCAGACCTTACTGGGCATGCCTCTATTGTCCAGTCCCTTCCTCCAGCAATCTATTGGGAACAGACTTGGAAAATGTTAATGTTAGGGTCACCGAAGGAGGTATACAGAAGTCTGGAAGGGGTAAAGAATTATGAACTTATTAGGTCATCTGGAAACCAGATGGGCTGAGCCCCAAAAGGGCATCAGCATCCAGCTATGGGGAGTCAGAGATTTTAAAGGACTCCAGGCTGGTTTTTTTCCGAAGGGAATTCTCTGGGCGAGTCCGGATCCTGGGCAAGTCTGGAGGGGAAAGTTACTGGCCTTACTTAGCAAATGGAATGTGGTCTAAGCAAAAGGGAATGTTGGTTGTGAAATGATCTAAAGATCACTTTCCCAGGGGAGGGGACATTGATTGGATTATTTGATCAGAACTAACAGTTAACTGTAGCTTTCTGGCAAAGCTGTACAAATGGCATGCCTACATTATCTAGACTCCCTTTTATTCCTTTTCTGTTAGTTAATAATCATGTTATTGTAACAGTATCAGTTCCCAGGCCTCCTGCCCCATTGCTGTAGGCTCTGCCTTTCTGGGCGTGACCTTCAGCTCTTTGGGTACATTAGGACACTTTTTAGAGCTCTGGACCAGTCCAGGCTTCAGAGCAACCAGAGGTCTGACTAGCACTCCTGGAGCAGCCAGCACTCAATGCCTGGCCTGGGAAGCCTTGTGGTGTCTGGTGATCCAGTCTTGCTCTTCCTCCCAAAGTCATACAATGCAATGGCCTAGACCCGTGGTTGGCAAACTGCGACTCACGAGCCACATGCGGCTTTGGCCCCTTGAGTGTGGCTCTTCCTAAGCCTTAGGAGTACCCTAATTAAGTTAATAACAATGTACCTACCTATATAGTTTAAGTTTAAAAAATTTGGCTCTCAAAAGAAACTTCAATCATTGTACTGTTGATATTTGGCTCTGTTGACTAATGAGTTTGCTGACCACTGGCCTAGACCACCTTTCCTCAGAGACCAGGCCCAGCTCAGCCTGGAAGCAGAAGGAGGGGAAGTTCCTCCCTCAGAAGATGCTGGGTGTGGGGATGTGGGCAGGTTATTGAGGGACTTCTTGATCCAGGAATTAGCAATGGCCTGTGATTAGATTTCCATGCGACCACGAGGCCAAACTTTGGGGTTTTCTCTCTAACAGGGTTGTAAGCTGGGAGAGGGCATGGGACTCAAGTCCCTTCCCTCCTGCAGTTAGGTCCGTCTCCCCAGGCTCCCTTTCAGAGAGGGCTCCAAAGGAGGAACTTAAGCAACGCCGAAAATTCTGGAGGCGGAAAGGCAGAGGGAGGGTGGTTTGGTTTTCAGATCTGGGTGTGAATCCCAGATACACCTGGTCCGGCTGTGGACCTTGGGCAACGCTGCAGCACTCGGAGACTCCTTTTCCCTGGGTGATAAA